ATGATAAAAATGATCTATTTCAAACTAACAACCAATATTTTACTTAAGTATGAAACAGAAGAGTCATTTCCATTAAAAGCAGAAAAGACAAGGATGACCACTCTTCCTATAACTATTTAACACTGTAGTGCAAGTTTTAGTCAGTACAATCAGACATGATGATATAAGAAAATAATGGCATAACTTTTCGAAAGATGACTTGCATAAAATGACTATATACCTAATAAGCAAATCCTAAGAGTGAGACAACTATAAAATGTTTAAAATCAACAAGAGAGGGACCTTCCTGGTGGCACAGTGGTTAAGAATCTGCCTGCCGGAGATCAGCTCAGTGCTTTGTGACCACGTAGAGGGGTGGGATAGGGAGGATGTGAGGGAGACGCAAGAGCGAGGAGATATGGGGATATATGTATACATATAGCTGATTCATTCTGTTATAAAGCAGAGACTAACACACCATTGTAATTATACTCCAATAAAGATGCTTTAAAAAAAGGGGGGAAAAAAGAAAAAAGAAAAAAAAAGAGAAATAAGATTTAAAATAAAATTGAAATAATAAAATTCGTATATTTAATCAAAAAAAAAAAAGAATCTGCCTGTCAATGCAAGGGACACGGGTTCAAGTCCTGGTCCACGAAGATCCCACATGCCATGGAGCAACTGAGCCCATGCGCCACAACTACTGAAGCCTGTGCACCTAGAGCCCGTGCTCCACAACAAGAGAAGCCACCGCAATGAGAAGCCCATGCACCGCAAGGAAGAGTAGCCCCACTCGCCACAACTAGAGAAAGCCTGCGTACAGCAACAAAGACCCAATGCAGCCAAAAATAAATATATTAAAAAAAAAAACAAGAGAATTCATTAAATTACTTGGATACAAAATGTAATGCGGGGAAGATTCTACTCAGAATAGCAACATAAAAGTAAAACACTCCTAAAGGTAATGTCTGGGTATCAGAATAAATAAAAAACACTCCATGATTGTGAATGGGAAGAATGATGATAATAAATGTGTTTATTCTTCCCAAAGTAAAGTTTTATTGCAAATCAAATCAAAATAGCAATGGGATTTTTTTTTCTGGAAAACAACAGCATAATTCTAATCAATAACATGTTTCTGGAAGAAAAAACAGGTGAGAACATCTAAGAAAAGAAGAATGTGTGTGGGTGGGGTGAGGAAGAAGACTGAGCCTATCAGATACTATATTATAAAGCTACAATAAATTAAACAGTAACATCTCCACAAAATTGATAGACCAATCAATAGAAATGAACAGATAGCTTTGAAACAACTTAATATTTGATAAAGACAATATCAAATCAATGGGAAAGATATGGATTATTTAACAAATTATAGAAATAGACTATTTTCGAACATTCAAGGTGGTTCCATTTCTCATTACATAAATCAAAATGCATTCCAGAAGGAATAAAGAATTAAATATAAAATAATTACCACTCTAACCAAATACTTAAAAATCTAGAAGGAAATGTAACAATGTTTAATTGATTTCAAGACAGAACTCTCTAAGCACAGCAAACAATTGAAGAAATTAAAAAAAAAAAAGATTGAGAGACATAATTACTACATAAAAATGGGTTGTTAAACAACCTGAAGTTGTTGAAAACTGAAAGCCAAACGACTAACTAGGAGAACTCCCACAATAAATACAAAAGTTAATCCTTAACACATACACATATGTAAAAGAGCTCTTACAATTAAGAAAAATTCCTAAATAGAAAAACAGAAAAAGGACACTAACAGAGAATTTAGAAATTTTTTACAAATATATGAAAAATGTTAACTTCACTAGTAATTAAAAACTATAAATTAATGAGATACCATGATTTGCCCCTCAAATTATAAAGGTTAAGAAAATGTCATCAATATCTTTTGCTGGACAGGCTGAAGTTATACAACATTGGTAGGATTAGAAATCAGTACTTAATGGAAAGCAATTTTATAATATATATGGCCTGAAATAAGTCCTTATGCTTTGACCTAATAATTCTATTTCTAGGAAGCTATTCTAGGGCAAGAAATTAAAAACAACTCAAATGTCCAAAAATCATAGAACTTGGTGCCATAGAATTTTTTTTGAAGAATATCAAAATGGCTGAGAAAATGCTAATATAGAGTTTTTTAAAAGACATAACTTACTATATATTACTATGATTCCAGTTTTGTAAAACAAAAATCACACATATGTCTATCAAAAAGAAACACTGAAAATATATATAAAGAAATGCTAACAAGTCTTATGAATAACAATAGTTTTATTTTTCTGTTTTATATTTTCTATAATCAAAGAAATTATACATTATTTAAAAAAATTTTTCTGAGAAAAGCTAAAAACAACAAAAACCAGTTATGAATGACAGGAAATGAATAAAAAATTATATTTTTCTATAAATTTGGTAGTAAAAGGCATGAAAGGGATGTACTATAGCTTGAAAGGATAGTAACTGAGGAAAGTTTTGTTTCGTTTTGTTTTAAAGGCAGATAACAAACATGCTTATGGTAAGAGAAGTAAGTAGAAATACAAGATAAAGAAGGGATAACTTTTTGAAGATCCTACAGCAGGCTGAGAAAGTAGGAAGCAGAAGTATATAAAGAAAAAAAGGCTTTTCTGATGCGGAAAGTGAGCAAGAGAAGATGGCTCAATACAGAAAATTTTAAAAGACGAAGATGTAAGGCCTATTTGTTTTGATGTGGGAAAGGTCTGAATCATCTTCACTTTGCATTTCTGTAGAATAGTGATGGCAGGGTGAATGGCTTGTTACAAACTAGTTTCCCAATTGTCAGAATCACTGGATTTAATTAATGAACATATGTGACTAACCTGTGTTAAAATGTGAATGTGTGGAGGAAGAAGAAAGGTTAAGAACTACTGTTCTAGCGGATTGTCTTTCACATAGGTCAAACCTTTGAAGTGAATTCTTACGAGGTTCGAGTAGAGATGACCTTTTGACTATAATGCCGGGCTTGAGGAACAAAGAAGTGGTTTATAACAATTACTCTGAGAAGTAAAGTAAAAGTGAACAAGGGATAAAAAATTTGCCAAACAGCAGAGATGGCACTGTTGAAGTAAAGATGCATGAATATACAGTAACTCTCTATATCACACTGGTCTGATAATTTTCTCTAGTAATATACTGCTGCCCAGGAGTAGAGAAAGCAGATGTTAGGAATGATTCTGATTAGAGAACTGGTTATGGAAATATATACACACATACACACACATATATGTGTGTGTATGTGTATATATATATATACGTATATATATATATATATATATATATATATATA